CGGATGCGCCGTTTGTGAGCCGCGGCGGCTGGAAGACAGCTAGATTTTCTTGTAGGGTCAGAAAGTGACGTTAGGCAGTGGAGACCGTTGCCCGGAGGCCCGGTCCGTCCCTCAGGGCCCTGCTGTTTCGCTGTTTCGCAGCCGGCAGCTCTCAGAGCTATACTTTTCTAAGGGCTTCAGAAAGCAACGTTAGGCACTGGCGCCTGGCCTTGGGACACGTGGTTGGGACCAGCAGGCCCTGCTGTTGCGCTGTTTCGCATGCGCCCGGCAAAGGTGGCAGAGGTGCGGCAAAACAAGGTAGAATGGGTAGAACACATGCTTGTCATTGCTTATCATTGCTTGGGTACTGTGAATATGTGCAGAGTACATTTGAATCCATCTTGAAATTATATAAAGAATATATAGAGTATATATCCTAACTGTTAGTGATTGATGTTAAGGTGACCCGAAATGATTTCTCTCAAAGTTACTTCGACTTCAAGACTTGGCTTTTTACTGATGATTGGTCAGGGATGGTCTGAGGAGACAATCTTCCCTAATCATGTCAGGAAACCGAGCAGGATCAGCCCCGCCTCCTAAGGCCCAAGTCTCACCTCCTGGAGCTTTTCACGCACATGGTGAATCCCATGCGGATGTTGCGATGTTGCTTGCAGTCCTCGGTCACGATGTCCTCCGCTTCTTCACGTTCTTTTCCAGGGGTCGGCGGCAGGGGGCGTTAGCCCTTAAATAAATGAACTAGAACTTGATTTGACCACTGGTTCTACATCTACCATGCCCTGGGCAGGTGTTGATCTAGCAAAACATTCAGCTGGACGCTGAAGACTGGGTCGGCTGGCTTCCTTAGAACCTCCACATAACATGCTTTGTCCAAATCCTGGCACTGGCAGGAGCAAAGGCATGTGCAAAACCATACAAGACCCGTGAAGAATGGTATGGTTTTCGAGTCTGATAGCAGTTGATAGCAACGGAATCTCCTTCGAAAAGCCGGGCAGTCTTCCAAAATCTGCCGGCTCAGCGGTCAGCTTTGCCTCATGCCCCAATATGAGTCTGCCTCAATACTTTTAGTCATTTACAAGTGACATCCGTAGACTTTTTTCTCACGATGTTTTCGGAGATGTTTTCAGATGTTCTTATGATATGAAATCATATCAAATATTATCTAATGGTGAACATATAAATCACCATTTAAAACATTTTAAAACCATATTTGTTCATATTTTTCATGGTGATTTTTCATACATTTATAAACCATCCATTGATGTCCAATGGATTTCCATCGATGTCGGAGAGTCTGAGGCTCAAGACATCTGCGGACACTTTGGCCTCGCTGGAGTAGCTCCTGTTTAGCCGCAACTTCACAGCGGAGCAGTGGGAAACATCAATGAACAAACATAGGAAAACATAGGAAAATCCTAAGGATTCAGAATAGAACTAATCATTCAGAATATTTCAGAATAGATGTCATAGAACATCATAGAACTATACAGAATGGAGAACAAACACTTGAGAGCCAAGTGTAGCACTGCAAATGACGATTCAGGACAAAGGAACATGAGATACACATAGATACACCATACACAGGACAAACCCAGCGAATCCCTTGGAGAAAAAGTAAAATCACGCAACACATGTTTCTTTTCCGCGGACATTTGAAACTAAAATTCGCAGGTGTTTTTCGTCGGTGTGAGTGTTCAAATTCATAAGATTCATAAGTGAATGGGAAAGCAGGGTTGAGTCGGGTTGAGCCGTGCTAAGCAGCAAACGGAGCTGCTTCTCGAAAACGATGCTTGGCTGGTGATGTCATGTACCTGGCCATGGATCCCTGTAGGCTTTGCTACCGAATCTTTCACGTGTCAAGTTGTGTCAAGTGTCCATGGATTTTGTATGCCTTTCATCTGCCTCAAAGTGTGCAAAATATGGCCAGTATGACATGACTATCTTTCTGGTACATGATAACACAATGTGACAATGTAACACTGACACAATGTAACACAGACTTCCTAAAGGATACAGTATTATCAGTTAATATTCAGTTAATTAAAGGCAGTTGACCAACATCAGAACCTCAAAATTGTTAGATCTGTGGAGAAGTCTGGCTTGGTCCCCATCACGCCCCGAGGGTCTCACTTCGTGGCTGGAGACGCTAAAGGCCTGGCATCGATGGAAAGCACATGGCTTATCATGGCTTCAGATCTACAAAGAGAAACAGAACGATGTCGTTATTCAGAATATTTCAGAATATTCAAATATAGAATCATTATATATCATTATATATAGTTTATATATCATTATAATCCTATAGATTTTCTGGGGGAAGCTGCACAAGAGAGATAATTACTCAGAACAAGCCGTGTTCCCTCCAATCAAACCGACCCCTAAAGTTGGGACTCAAAAGGCCTGGAAAGTACTTGAACAACATGGTTTTAGTAAGTTTTAGTGACTTCTCATGCACGAAATGATGCAAAGTGCCCATGATGCAAGTAACTTTGCCGGCTCCACACTTTGGCCAAGGAATTTTCCCTCCCTGGTCTGTCAAAATGCTCTTGGGCATAGTCAATTCCCTGCCAGCAGCCATTTCACTGGTAATGTATAGATCTAGTAGCAAATTCTAGATAATTTTTGATCTATAATCATACTAGTCCAAATAATCTCAAGTTACTGTTTTCAGGTTTTAAGGTTGCTGTAGTTTTCAATTTCCTCAAATGGTCTAATTTTCCTATGGAAAATCTTGGAAACCTGCTAGGTGCCATGATGTGCCATGGCCGTCACCGAAACGCCTTCATGAACAAGGCGCCAAGAAGGGCGCTACAAGCACCAACTTCTATGCATCCGGAAGACATGGGAACTGCCTCAGGTCAGGCCTCAGGTCAGGCTGCACAATCTGAGATCTTACTGATGTTATGATGTTGAATCTGTGCTGCTGCTGCTTCGAACAATCCTTCTACTTTGACCCACTTTGCGCATCAGCGTGTGGCAATCCCTTTTGCTGAGGTTCAAACCCGAACCCCACGGGGAAGGTGCTTGTAAAGATTGAGCCTGAAAGCTAGCCGAGCCTGCAGAAATGCGCGGCCATGTCCTTCTACCAGAGCTGCAACTTCGAAGCCACAGTCCACAGTGATCAAGATTCCGAGGTATCAGATGGTATCAAGCTATTCAAACTTAGAGAACCCAGAAGTTGAGACTTCAAAGCTCAAACATCAAACTAATCCTTGCAGAGAGTCTGCCTCTATCGGAATCTAGGATTTGGAAGCCGGATGTCGGATGTTAAGATATGTTAAGCCCATGAAAAACATGAAATATGCGACCGTTGCAACGGTTGCTGGATCTGAAATGATGCGTGGCGCGGCTGCTGCGGCTCCTTTTCCCACCGCTGAGTCTCTCTGTCCTGACCGACCCAGCGCTTGGACTCAGTGGACGAATCCCAGCTGATCTCAGCGAGGGCAGCATCTTGGTGAAATCAAAAGGGATGAAGCTCATGACTCGGGCATTGTGTATATATATATATCATTATATATCCCATGATCTCCAATTATATCCGAGGGCTTAAAGCACCTGCCATCACTTCTCAAAATGTGATGATGCTTTGTTTCTGTTGAAACGAACCTCTTGACTGTCTAGACCATGTAGACCCTCTAGACTCTAGACCATGTCTTGACCGTCTTGGCCATCTTGACCCTCGTGACCTTAAGAAGGGACCAATCGCCGTATCATCCCACATTTTTTCTGTGTCAAAACCAGTTCCATGAGCAACATGCCCTCTGCAAATGATCCACGAAACTTAACTATAGACAATAAAAGTAGCATCAACATTTATTACTTCTGCCTTCTGAGCTTTATCCTTGAATCAGCGATTTTTTGGATCAATCATATTACATGATTCTTATGGATTCTTATGGATTGTTATGGTATATTCTGATGGATCGTCATGGATCGTCATGGATCGTCATGGTCTTTTAGCCATGGGATGCACACTTTGGAGGTGGTTGCTGTGAGTGAAAACGCGCCTCAAAGCGCAGCACCGGGAAAAGGCGCTTGCAGTGGCCTGGTTCCGCGAGTCATGAGAATCAGATTATCAGCTGCTTGGATTATGTCAAGCATGGTGTGACTGACAATGTCTTCTAACTGTCTTGGATTATGGTCATTTGGTGTCGGGTATGTAGCAGGGTCATTGTCTTTTGCGTGCCCCTTTTAGGCCCGACAATCAACCTCAGGAACGGCGCAGGAAAAGCGAAGTGACGACATGAATCAGCCTGCACCTGATTGAATTTGGGAGAACCATGGAGAAATAAGCAATGATATAACTTATTTCAAAAAAACTAAATGTGTATATATATATATATTACATACATACATACATAATTATATATACATAGTTATATATATATATACAGTATATATATGTGATTATATATGTATTACATATTATATAGTTGTACAAGTATAAGAACGGTTTCGTTCACTTTCTAGCTCAACTAGATTTCCTATGGTCGACCAAGCGGCAAAAGGCTGCAAGGCACGAGATGCAAAGGGCAGCAGCTGTGTGGAGGAGAACTCCCTCAGCATCTTCTAGGACATCTTCCAACAAAAATCTTGGATCATCTTGGATTATTTCCAGGAAAAAAAGTCATAAACCATAAGTTCGGTTTACCTTCCAGACTGCTTCAATTTCACAGATCTTCCTCTTTCCCACATCTTCTCCATGATCTATGCACAAATGCAGTGTTTCCCAGCGATGTGCAAAGTACATCGACTCGGTGACGACGTCTTCAGCGACGTGTGACTTGCTGAGGCCTGGGCTCCTTCGACGCGATTTGCACCACTTAAAAGGTTCAGCATCGAGGAAAGCGCCACTCGTTCCTGGTGACGTCTTGACATATTCATGTACCCTCTGGTAATTTAACATAGCTATTGAAAATGGTGATTTATAATGGATTTTCCCATTAAAAATGGTGATTTTCCATTGCTATGTTAGTTTACCAGAGGGTAATATACTCACTAATACAGTCTTGACATCTGTCTTGACCATGTTTGGCGGCTCAAACATGCTGGCAAACAGTTTGAAATTGAAGTCGATTACATGCTTTCCGAGAAACTGCATGAGTGGCTCGTTCTGAAGAGGACTTGATGGGAGGCAAAAAGAGGCTATCCAATCCTTGGATGGACATCCATTTCCATTAAAAAATCCTGCTTGGTGAATGGGAATTCCCTGGGAATTCCCTGATTCCCCGGAATTTTGGTGAACGGGTTGAATTTCCAGCTGAGAGACCATCGCCACTTGCCATGCAACGTCCAGCGCACTGCTGGCGTAGAGTTGTTTCCATCTGTGGCAATTGGAGGATCCACAAAAAACGCTCAGACAACGAAACTTTTTTAAACATGCTTAACATCTCTCTGAGATTCCGCAGTTTTCCTGACAAAGAAGGGAACATGTTTTTCATCAAAAGCTGCTACAGAGTTGCTTCTGCAAAGTCAAGATTTGCCAAGATGTGCAATATGATGTCCTAGATATTGTTTATTAATCTATATATAATCCACATATTATATATATATACACATACATGTACATACATACATATATATATATATTATTATATATATATATATTATTATATATTATTATATATTATTATATATTATTATATATTATTATATATTATTATATATTATTATATATATTATTATATATTATTATATATATTATTATATATTATTATATATATTATTATATATATTATTATATATATTATTATATATATTTATATTATTATATATATTATTATATATATTATTATATATATTATTATATATATATATTATTATATATATGTATATATTATTATATATATTATTATATATATTATTATATATACTATTATATATATTATTATATATATTATTATATATATTTATATTATTATATATATTATTATATATATTATTATATATATTATTATATATATTACTATATATATTATTATATATATTATTATATATATTATTATATATATTATTATATATATTATTAAATATATATTACTATATATATAATTATATATATTATTGTATATATTATTATTATATATATATATCATTATATATATTATTATATATATATTATTATATATTTATATTATTATATATATATTATTATATATATATATATGTATTATTATATATATATTATTATTTATATTATAATATATATTATTATATATATTATTATATATATTATTATATATTATATATATATATTATTATATATATTATTTTATATATTATAATATATATATATCATTATATATATTATTATATATATATATTATTTATATATATTATTATACATATTATTATATATATTATTATAGATATTATAATATATATATATATATATATCATTATATATATTATTATATATATATATTATTTATATATATTATTATACATATTATTATATATATTATTATAGATATTATTATAGATATTATTATATATATATATTATTATATATATTATTATATATATATTATTATATATATATTATTATATATATTATTATATATATATATTATTATACATATTTATATATATATATATTATTATAGATATTATTATAGATATTATCATATATATATTATTATATATATTATTATATATATTATTATATATATTATTATATATATTATTATATATATTATTATATATATATATATTATTATATATATATATAATTGTATACCTATATCACCTATATCTTTATGATCTACCAGCTAGTTTCCGACATGTCGACGCACGAGCACCTCCCGGTCGAGATCCGTATCCAAGATCAGTTGGTAAGAGATCCAGGCTGACGGCGCCTCGACGTTGAGTTGACATCATCATGCGATGTAAAAAATCACTAAATCACTTGGTTTGTTATAGCTTTTGACCCATCATTTATTATTGAAAAGAAACTATAGTTGGCTATATATATATAGTCTATATATCATATACCCCATAAAATCCCATGTCCCATTATATCCCATATATAAAAAAAAATCAACTGATGGAAAATCGACTCCCAAAAAAGCCATTCGATGGCCTGCTCATTGGCAAGCTCATCAGGCTCCAATTTTGAAGCGCTGCGGCGTACTGGGAGACGCCCACGGACAGCAGCTTGCCTGGGGCGGTGCAGAAACACTGATAACTGATACCTGAAGCATTCTTAGATCCCAAAATTGATGTGACATGAAGAAATTCTGGGAGCTGTTGGTACATTCAAGAAGACCATCTGATTAAAGCTAAACTTGGAAAAAATGCAGACATGACGGACATGATGTGGCTGCTCTCGGCTGCTCTTTGCAGGCATCCTTTGCATAGTTCCCCTACTTACAAAGACGCTCTGTAAGTCACACACACAACTCATACGTATGTCCCAAACTTGCATGATGGCACACAAGTCAGGATAGTTCTGGATGGTTCACATGTTTCAATTCAGGAATCTCACAAAGCAGCCTGAAATAAATTGAAATAACCTCAAATTCCTCAATTGAACATAGTGAAATATAGTGAAACATATTGATATATGGCAGTGTGTCAAAACCTTGTACCCCTGGTGAACATCAAAATAGATGGTAAATGGATGTTCATCCCCCTAAAAATGGTATTAATAGGTATTGATCCATACCAATATTGAAACTTTGCCGGTTGTGCCTGACTTTCAGCAGCTTTGTTGTCCCGTGGCGACGGAGCAGCCGGAGTCGGTCCTTCCTGCGGTGCTTTATTTTTTTAACGCTTCAAAAGTCGGTCCGGAAAATCGCATTCTGAACATTCATGGATCACACATGGATCACACATGGATCACACATGGATCACACATGGATCACACATGGATCACACATGGATCACACCACACATATCACACATCAACAACATCTGACAGCATCTGACACTATGAGAAACTGATGCAGATTGATGCAGTTCATATCCAACTCACGTCGCCTGTGAGGTCGGACGCTGCGAAAGCGCCCAGAATTGAAGCCGAGAAATCGCAAGGCTTCCTCCACACCTGCAGAAAGATCCGAAAAATCACATGGAATTTTGACTAACTATGACATTGTCTGGATTGTTAGTATGTGATTTTAAATCAGATATTAATGATATCAGATATCAGACCATAAATCAGTATGATGTCAATTGATGCCAATTGATCAGTTGTCCGGACATCAACCACGATCAGCAGTGAATAAAAGATTAGACAACGTGTAACCTATGCATGAGGACCATGGTTATAATATGTTATAGTGGTTGTAGCACTTGAAAGCTACTGTCGCTTTATGTGAGAGCTGTGCATTCGTAAACCTGGCCTAGCGCACCTAGCTCAGGTTGATATTCCAAGAGGGGGTCATTTCCTTGCACAACACTGCACACTGCACAACACTGCATTGTGCAGTCCGTGTGAGCTGAAAAGTCATGCAACTGACTGTGCAATGAATATGGATGGGGGTTGCTGTGTGTTGTCATGGCACCTCAAGAACATCACAATCCGAAAGCATCCAAGCGTCGAAGCAACTTGGAAGCATCCAAGGCCCATCGTTTTCTGTAGCCCATGACGAGACGCAACCTTTGCAGTTGCAGTGCAAAAACGTTTGGGAACTGTGAACAAGCTCGAAACAAATGAATACAAATGAAAGGTGATGAAAGGTGTTGAAAGTAGCAGGTCTCCGTCAAAAGCTGCTGTGCATCTTTTGGGTTGGATGTTGCTGGATGTTGTTGGATATGGTCCATAAGGCAGCAACCCCAGGATGGAGCGTCCCCGGGTCCTCCGGAATGCCTGAAGCGGAAAAACGCAACGGGACCTTGAGGAACCCATCCAATCCCTCCAAAGATGACGAGTGGAACCCAGTGAAACACACATGAATTCAGCTAGATCTCAGCTGATGCTACCCGTGGCCCAAACGGGTAAGCGCCTTTTGGGTTTCAAAATGCAATGTGCCACTGCTTCGGAGCAGTTCCAAACCCAAGAGCTCCTGGACAGCACTGACAAACGCTAGTAATGTACAGTAGTATAGTATAAAGATGTATATAGTATAAAGTATAGTATAGCATATGGTATAGAAAAGTATACTAAGTCTACCTGAGATTTCTCAAAACTTGCTACTTGCTACTGAGATCTCCTGCGACATGTCTTTCGCCTGTCTGAGCCAAAGCTTTCGGTAGTTCTTCTCCAAACCTTCCACCCTGATTTGCTGGCAGGCATGCTCAGAGAGAATCTCAACGCCATGAAATTTGAATCATGAACTCCTGATTTGAATGTTAACATATTTCCACCTAGGATTTCAAATCACTCAAATGATCTCAAGAAATTGTCTTTTTATGTGTTTTTTCGCTGTGACGCTCGCCACTTGGCTATCTTGGCTCTTCACACTTCAGGGGCTGGAAAGCGTCCCAATGCGGTGACCTTTCAAAGCACACAGTGATGACATCGACGTCTCGACGTCTGACACAAAATCTGCAGGACATTGTCGGACTCATTGGGCATCCTTCGACATCTTCGACTGCCTGCTGCGACAGTTTAAAAGTAGGCCGTGAGCCTGCAGAGTTGCTGCGAAAGCTGCAAGCTGCGAAAGCAAGAAAATTTGTCATGCGAGTCTAGTCAGAAAAAGTCCTTCTGTGAGCCGACTAAATGCCACTAATGCATAGTAGTAATACTATCTAATAGTTGTAGAAGCTGTTTCAATCTCTTTTTTCTTTAGCGGTTATAAAAAACAGTTCGCCATGGTATAGCCATGGCCCATAGAAATAGATGGTGATTTTACAGCCGTTCGCCTCGACCCAAGGTCGAGCTGAAGGCCCGGATGCGCCGCACCGGCACCTGTTCGAGGTGAAACCCAACGTGGCTCAGAGCGTGTCATGGCCAAATGAAACACAAGACACATAAATTATATCATTAATATCATATATAATCATAATATTAATTTGTTTAATATACATTAATGTTTAATTTATATTATATATACTTGATATTATATCATAATATCTCATAATTGTTGATACAATATACAATATGTATTAAAACAAACGTTCAGATATATTCAACGCAGAAAAAAAACTCATTCACGGGTCTCAAGCGTGGAGAGATGGAACATGATGGAACATGATGGAACTGTGGAATTTGGCACGTGGCACAGCCATGCACAGCCGACCGGTGCCGTCACCCATTCTGGTCATGGATTCTCCACAGCCAACCACTCGCCTCTGGTTGCCAGTGCCAACGATCTGACCAAGTCCGACTCCGAATGGAGCGAGTGATACCTTGTCCGAACATCGAGGGGAATCGACTTTGTGCCAGCTATTGTTGTCACAAGATATCAGCCTTTCAACAAATTGGAGCAAAGAGATCACGCATCACTTGCAACCGGAAAGTCAAGCGGGATAACCCCGGGCCCATGATGCTGCCTTCGCCTCTCTCACCCAAACTCCCGGCACGGACGTCCTGGTGATTCCATTGGCGCATACAGAACACAGAAATCCCGACAGGGAGTCTGTCAGAGACACAAAATATTTCGGAGGTGTTAGCCGCAGGAAATAAGTTCAATGGCAAAGACGTCGAGGCAGAATCTGGGAGAGTGACCAGCCTTTCTAGCGCAAGTTGACAAAGCTAACAGCAGCAGTTAATCAATCACCTTGGACAAAAAATACCCTTTGCAATGATTGACAGTGTTTGCAAGGGCATAGGTTGGCAAAATTCCCGGCCATGATTCTCATATAATTTTGTTGTGGTCAGTCCAAATTATGCTTGTGCTGAACTCAATGAAGCGCGAGCAGCCTTTCTTCCCTATGTGGGCACTGCAGCACATGCTGGGTCTTGAAACTTGACACTTGAGGTCAAGAAGGAATGAAAGCAAAGATGGCTTGGCATATGTTACAACAAATGCCACTGTGAGCTTTGCTGTTTTAGATTCCGAAAAAAATGAAAGATTATTTTCTCTAGCAATGTTCTATGTGGCTTCAAACTTGAGGAACCTTTATGCGTCAGGCCACATGACTGGACACTGGGCGGCTTGGTGAGACACCAGCAACTCAGTACATGTAAATTTCATCAGCGTCCACATGTACATTACAATTACACACATACAAAATCGATACAAAATGGATAGCCAAAACTCAGATCCACCAATCTTGCGAACAACCTCCAGGATGTTGAAAAGAACACAGTTTGGACAAGCTCCACAGCTAGAACAGCATTAGAACAACATGCGCTAGATATTAAGTGATCTTCAATGATATTCAAACATTCTCTAGAAAAAGTGATATCATGTTATATTCAAACATTCTCTAGAAAAAGTGATCTTCAATGATATTCATTTCAAGTTTTTTTTACTTCTTGTTCTACAGTGGTTCTACTATCATTCAGCGGATGAACTCCAAAGCTCTGAAACAAACTGCGCGAGACTTGGCAATGCACCACCTGCAGATCCTGTCGCCATCCGAACAGGGAAGAAATCATATTTTTGAGTCACTGATACTGCTGTGGATTGTATGGAAATTTGGTTTCGGCGACACCGAAGATCAAAAGCAAAAAGTCTATGGAGTGGCCTATGCTACGTATGTTGAACCACCAAAACAAGAGGCTGACATCGATTCCTTTGGTATTTGCGGGTTGCGGGTAGCAAAAATTTGGGCCAAGAAGGTCATTCATCTCTGAAAAGACAATTCCTGCAATGCCGGTAAGATGCAACTTCAGGTTCTTCTTGCAGCTACTCTGAGTGCTTCTGTAGGTGTGCAATGGACAGTCTACGTGACTAACAGAAACCGAACTTTCTGGCAGTTTCCACAAAGGAACCACGAGAACCACGAGTTCGCGTGTCGGCCACTGCACACAGATGGGGTTCACCAAATGCGCACGGCCGTTTTTTTCCACGGCCAAAGCCTTCAGACTTCATCATTCCACCAACGCATATCTGGAGGAATGCTGGCCTGCAAGCGGCGCTGAGCCTGGATCATCCTGAATCCACTCTAAACATCACGCTGATTTGAAATACTTTCAACTCCTGTGTACAGTGCAAAAATGTGCAAAAATCACATATGAATTGACATGAATTGACATAATGCATTTTGCCTTGTTCATCAAAATGCCTTGTAGTTGACACAACTACAGTGCCGTCCGCACTTCTGCGCCAAGTAACTCGTAAAGCCCTTTCTAATCCAACGATGGAATGCAACATGCGGCCGGCTTCGTCAAAGGGGTGATCGTCTCCTGCACAGTGTTTATTCGGAGACCGCCGAAGAATTGCTGCGAAGTGAACCACTCGGGTGCCTTTTTTTTGGCTGAATATGGATATGTGCAAGGTCCAAACTAGAAATTGTATAGAAGTAATATGAAATAGCATGAAGTAAGATTAGTACATAGTGATGCTTTTTCTAAACTTCCAACACCTAAAAGCAATGGCAAAGGTGTCCTGTCTCACCTGGCATGGCGTTGATGCTTCCTTAGCTGCTAGGAAAATTGATCACGTGCCCAGTGGTGGCCCCCATGCTTTCAATCTCCTGCAGCCGGCACCCACTGCACACAAGGATCGCTTTAGTATCACATGGCACGTAAACGTAACATATCGTAACATCACCTCCAAGTGACTCTGAGTTCTGCTCCACAGCTCCTGTCAGCTGTCAGCAAGGAACATCGAAAAAGGTACCGATCAAGATCTCGGATCGAGATCATGTTCATCATGTTCATCATGTTCATCATGTTCTTTCATAAATCGTGATCTGTTTGATTTTGATCATGTTTGTATAGCATCGTTTCCAGCCGTGTCGTTTTCCAGCCGTGTCGTTTGCGCTGACCTCCCAGCCGTCGGGAAGACCACAGAGTGGGCTGCCCACCGACGTCACCGGCGGTGTCCCGCGCAGCGGTTCTCCAGGCTTCAGCTGTGCCAAGCCTTCCTCGGCGACCACGGATGCCACGGCGCCACGGATGCTGAAGATTGGACTTCGGCCCACCAGGTTATAACAGGTTATTAACAGGTTAGAACCCCCAAAAAAATATGGCCCGAAAAGATAATGGCATTTTAATGTGGAACCTGATGATCAGCATGATCAACCATTCTGCTTGGCCCTAGTTTCAGACGAACCCACATGTGACAACATCAATTCAGAATGCTCAGCACAAGACAATGCAAGATATACAGTACTATGCAATAATGCTCTACTGCTGACCCATTTTTTCGTGGAGCAACCAACCGAGCAAATGAAGCAGCTCAATTGTCATTGCTATTCAGATCGACACCACACATGAAACCAAGGCTATGACGTCCCGTTGACACAGCAAACACAAATCAATCAGATCCAGCCTGTGTCAGCACCCCGGGCGCCAAAGGTCGAGGTGTAACAACCTCCTGCAATGCGCGTAGCACGATTCATGGTCTTTACGGCCTATAGAAGATGATCATCTACGGTCTCACGTGTGACGAAAATCTCACAGCAAAGATCGTAAAGGTACAAAGATGATGAAAGATACAGTAAAAATCAGGAAAATCAACGAAATGCGGTATTGTGTTTGTGGCCTTTTTGCGTGACGACTCTACCCCGAGGACAAACCACCTACCCAGCACTGCATCGCAAAGAGTGTTGTGCTGTCAACATAGAGACATGATGAGACATGCTGGCTACAAATATCAATTTGAATAGGTAGAATAATCCAGGATAATTCAAGATAATGCTCATTTTGGTCCACAGCCCGACAATCCCGATACGCCACTCTCCTTCTCATCCTCCATTTCACGAAGGACATCATATGCGTCCACGAAATCCGTCAGCACCTGCCGAGTCACCAGTGTCTCATGCGCTCGCAAGCCACACAGCCCTTTTCGATTCCATTCCAATCTGTTGACTTTCGGCCATGTAATGAATCTATATGGATCTATATGGATCTGCATGTAATTTATATATATATATATTTATTTATTAGTTCATCAATATCTATCATGTAATCAATGTAATCATCGATGGTTACAAATCGCCTCTCATCATGTCATGTGATGGATCCAATCCCTGCGTTGGTCCAAGATGGTCCATGTCGAGACACGCACAGCTCATCCCGGTCCGCGGGCAGTTGCTCCCGAATGCGCTGGGCTGTCTCCTGAGCACAGAAAGTATTGTATAGTGACCCAGTCTCCTGGTTGTACCCTCTGGTAATTTAACGTAGCTATTGAAAATGGCCATTAATAGTGGATTTTCCCATTAAAAATGGTGATTTTCCATAGCTATGTTAGTTTACCAGAGGGTATCTATTCCTACCTTGGAATATCCTGGAATTTGTAGTGTCAAACCCAGACTTGCTTGGATTCTTTAGGAGGCCTTGAGGGTACATGGAAAATCCTCGGCAACCCTTAATATCATGCCTACAGAATGGGAACCTGGAGAGCACAAATTGCAAATACAGCCCCTTTACCAAATTTAAAGTCAGCAAAGCCTCTGAATATCTCGGAGTACTACTTAGTTACTTTAGTCCTCACCAAAATCTTTGAATTCTATTCTTGACATGGTTTTCTCAAATCTTTGCCAGTCCCAAACATCTGAAAGCGTTTAGAAAATTGACATGATTTGGTTGAAGGGTTAAATAGGCTTTCACAAATTGATCTCTAAAGAATCAGAGACCTGAAAAAGATTGAACAAACTTTACAAGACAAGAATCCATGCAATGATTCTCTAAAGAATGGCACTGTTCTTGGCAGCCCGGGTGGTATGATTCTTGCGGGAAAATTCAAAGGGAGATTATGTGCAACCAGTTTACAGTCCATATACATATAGTATTTGCCTGTACGCCATGCATGTGATGCTAATGTGGTGTATATTCAAAAAGTAAGTGTGTGTGTGTGTGTGCCAGCTAAGCCCAAAAACCCGGAAATCCAGCGTTTTTTCAAAAAATGTTCGTTTTTGTTACTGGTGTTTGAATTCCTCCGCCTGTTGAATTTGGTGTGAGAATTTGTTCCGACATGCATTTTTGGGGTTCCTGTGGCGTTCTGAAGGTGGCAATGGCTCAACTTGAGATGCCTGCAGGGTATTCTGACATTTGTTTCTGGTATGTTTGCTTAGGAACTTGCCTTCCATTGCTTCTTGCAACCAGCCATTTCTATTTGGCACAGTTCTGGCGTTCGAACTTGTTTTTTTTGCAATGATGGGGGCACGCCTACCATTTTGGCCACGCAGTTTCTAAACGGGGCAGGTGCAGTTGCTGGTGCAGGCATCATTCAATTGGAAAATGTGTTTTTTTTCAAAGTGTGAGGACGCAGGATGTCTCCAAGACTTTTTTTGCCGCTGCTTGGGTGAAATTGCGCATGGCAATTGGAGCCACTAGACCCAGAAAAATTCAAAAATAAAGCCGGAGAAATTCCACACCCGGACTAGGTGCGAGAATACCCGGAGAACGAGCGAGAATTCCCGGAGATGGTGTGAGAAAAAAACGCGAGAAAACCCGGAGAAAATGCATGTATAGTA